ATCATACCCGGTTGTTCGCTAACAACCATAATGACCAGCATTCAGTTGATAGAAGTGGAAACATACTTCCTGGTTTATCCCTCTTTCTATGTCTTGTCATTTTTTTGTGTAATTATAGTATATATATAGTCTAATTATATATATTTTTCCTGAATATTTTGTGACTGCAGGCACTGTTGTTGATTCAAAAATTTGTCATCCCACTGAGTTTGACTTCTATTTGTGTAGTCACGCGGGAATACAAGTATGCATGCTTTAATTATTTTATATTTAGGTTTCGTTTAGGACTGCTTTCTTACTGCTTCTTAAAGCAGCTTTGTACTAAAAAGCTGCTTTAGGAAGCATAAAAAAGCTGTTCCAAATGAATTCTTAGGTTTCGTTTGGGACGGCTTTTTTATTGTTTTTGAAAACGGAGTCTTAGTATAAAAATTAAAAAATTTGTATTACAACTCCGTATTAAAAAGCAATAAAAAAGCCGTCCCAAACAAAGCCTTAACCTTTATAATTTGAACCTGTTGGCTCACTAATCATGCTTTTGCAGGGTACTAGCCGTCCTGCGCATTACCATGTATTATGGGATGAAAACAAGTTCTCCGCTGATGCACTGCAGACGCTTACCAATAACTTATGTTACACGTAACGATTCTCCACTTGTTTTTATTTTTTCCTTCCAATGTTTTAATTAAAAGTTTTTTTTTCTTAAATAATTTTACCACCTCGTCTCCTGCAGATATGCAAGGTGCACAAGATCAGTTTCAATTGGTAATTTTTGTGCTCCTCCTTGAATTTAAGAAACATGTAAATGATTTCTTTTAAAGAGGCATCTAAGGCTTCTTTTGGGACGGCTTTATTAACCCCTGCTTAAAGCAGCTTTCTGGTACAAAATTTTAAATTTTTTACCAAAAACTGCTTTAAGAAGCTGTAGAAAAGCCTTCCCAAACGAAGCTTAAGTTCTAGATCTGTTGTCTAACTTTTGAAGTTTTTTTTTTACAGTGCCGCCTGCATATTATGCTCATCTGGCTGCGTTTAGGGCAAGGTTTTATATGGAGCCAGAGACGTCGGATAGTGGTTCCATGGCAAGTGCTGCAGCTGGCCGAGCTTCAGCTGCGGGTGGTTCTCGCAGCACTCGAGCGCCTGGAAGTGGTGCTGTGAGGCCTCTACCTGCTCTCAAGGACAATGTTAAGCGGGTGATGTTCTATTGCTGATGACCTCTTCTGCCAGTTATTATTGCCCTATTTCCTATTTCAGCACGGCTTTATTGAAAACTGAATCAGAAACCCGAAACTTGTCTTTTATCTTATAATGCCTGTTTTCCACGACCTTCATATTAGTATTTTGGTGTCTGGGTGGGTGTGGCTTTATATGCAGCAGCATAGCACTGTTTTTCCTATACGGATTGGAATGATCACGTAGGTTTGTTTGAAGTGACTTTTTTTTTTTTTTCTGAGCATCAAGAACTTGATTGTTATGTGTTTTGTATTGTTCCGGAGTTCAATGCTTATATTGTTGTTGTTTGTTTAATCGAGACTAATTGTTTGGAGCTCTATATTCATTTGGAATTTGTAGCAGTCTGCATGGTTCGGTTTGATTTTAAATGATCTGTTTTTAACCTCAAATCTGTCAAATGATTCAGCAAAATTTCAAATTTAACTCCAATGGCCATTACTTTTCTTGCTTTGTTTGATTTGATTTTTTTTCTGTTTTAGAATATGCATAATTTTATATAATTTTAATTTTGATTTAAATTAAGTCTTTTTTTTGGTATAAAAAGATATGTAATAGCATTATGGCTATATGTAGACGATGCGAAATATCGGAAATTTATTGCAAATAATTGTTGGGAGGGTTTTAATTGAGCATGGAGTGTAAAATGTTGCGGGTTATATTGATTAGTATGAAAAATAGAGATATTTTGAAGTTTAATAAAAAGATTTAGGAAAATTCTAAATGTTTTGAGTATGTTTATTTGTTATTATTTATTCCTAGGATTTGGAGGCTGAATAATAGAGCTCGTTTTATAAAAAATAGCGAATCATGTACCTCATTATAGGCTATCGTGAATATTTGCCTTAGCCAATCATCTCGATTATAATATGACTCCTAGTGTCAAGGCGGGGGTTTTATTTGGTCCGGTTGACCGAATGCAAGAAACATTCGGTTGTATGCAAAAATGCGCCTATACCGTGTACCGAGTTTTTTGAAAAAACTCGGTACAACTTGGTATAGACGCGTTTTTGCCTACAACTGGATGTTCCTCTGCATTC